GCGTTTGCTAATACAAGTGGCACCACCATGCGTGTGCTAAATGACAGTGCGTTTCTCTGCATGTTGGGAAAGCACGTGATTTCATGTGCATACCCGACACGCAGTAATGTGAACCCAGCCTTTACCTAGGTTCACATCTGTAAGGGTGGTGTCGCTGCAGATCCGAAAATCCGTGCAGTCGCACCACCTGCACAGAGACATGTGGACCTGCGAGCGGGTGCCATTAGTTCTAATGACACGCCGCCCGCACTGGGAAACGCAACCGTAGTGGGAACCAAGGTTCCCATTTGGGCTGTGTTTTCAAAAGAAGTGCAGGGACTTCTTCCCTGCGTATCACGGGCACGGGAGTCCATTCAAATGAATGGGCTCTCGTGCCCGAGCAAAACGCGGCCCGCACGGCAGCATAGGCGTGAACCGGGGGTTAGAAGTGGTGTTCCCAATTTCCTTTTTCGGGAAGAAAAGAAGAATAGCTATTGATCTCAAGCAATGCTATTAGCTTTCCAAATCAGGAGCACAGCCTAGGGCAGGGGTGTCCAACTCAATTTCATCGTGGGCTGCATCAGCTTTATGGTTGGCCTCAAAGGGCTGGTTGTGTCTGTAAGACTAGATATCCAGAACACCCCCTTACATCAGATGCCAAGAGCCTCCTCACCATTAGATCTTGAGTCCCCCACACTCTCTTACATCACAGTGCACCCCCGTTAACTTGTCCTGCTGCCGGGAAGAAGCTGGGGGCGGAGCTGGGATGCAGAAAGTGCAGGGTCTGGAGGAGAACCATAGGAGGGCTGGTGTCACCTGCCAGAGTCTGCTGAATGTTGAGACCAGGGGAGGTGTAGATGAGGGGGCAAAACAAAGTTTTGCCTTTAGCCTGGGTTCACATACGTGCGGTGCGGTATATTGCATGTGCCTCGCACAGGAACTGCACCGCATTCCTGTGCAAATCACATGTGATTTGTTTGTGGTACGATCGGAGCCATACATTTTGTATGGTTCTATTCACACCGCACCCGCACCAATTGTGCAGGACCCTTTTTTTGGTCCGCACTAGAATCGGATTGCACAGGTATTCACACCTATGCCATCCGATTCTGCACATCGCACCGTGTTTTGCAGACCGCTCTCGGGATGTTGTTAACTTAACATACACACCCTCAGCAGTTCACATGAACGGGGGTGAGATTCTGATGCGGTGCAGAATTCGCACAGTGTGAACCCGGGCTCAGATACACTTTCAAGGTGACAAACCTGGAAAACTGGTAGGAATACTTCTAAAATGATGTAAATTCTGGTAGTCTTCTTCATAGTTTGGAGTCGAGGAGAACTCTGCAACACCAGTCATATTTTTTAATACGTTTTTTTTGGATAGCACAGGGTGGCCCAGTCCAAAAGCAATTTTGAAAAGCTTTCAAAGAGGAAATAAATTTGTCTAGTGGACTAGAATAACACTTATTATTAACTAATAACCATGATCAAAGATCACGCTGACCTAATCATACATCGCTAAGCTAGCATGGAACCAGAGATAAACCGGCATATCCGGTGGCCCCTCAGAAGCGCGGTCCTCCTAGTCCTGCCATAAACCCCCCTTCATCTGAGCAGAAATTGCTTTTATCCCTAGTTGCATTGCTTCACTCTTGCTGGTACAACAAATTGGCCGCATCACAAGGAAATGTTAGAGAAAAATAGTTTCTTGTCGCTGGGAATAAGGAGATGCCAAGTTCACCGATTGTTCTTGATTAGTTGCTGGCATTTGTCACGGGGAGAAAAAAACTTGCAAATATGGATGTAATTATAGGAACAATAAAACACAAATTCATTGTCGTTTTCATTGTTCTGGCAGGATTGTGTGTTTGTAACATGTGTAAATGGCATACAGGCATTGACTCGACTTTTACTGCTCTCTCCTTGTCTGTCATCTAGTCTTCGCTGATCAGGACCGTGGCCAGTGCCCTGTCATTGGACTGTAGCCAATATTTCTATTGTAAGTAGCAAGATAACAGATCATGAGAGGGCAGAATGGTCCAGAAGCAAAGAGGGCTCATGTGGTGTGCAGCTTATCCAGGAGTTTGCCAGTGGGTTGGTATAGAATGAAAGAGAATATAACCCCTACTGAATCACAGTTACTTTGCCTTGTTGCACAGTGTATCGTAAACAGTTGCCCTTAATAAATAAATTATTTTTCCAACATTTCTCATCCTGTCTCATTGCTGCTGATCTCCTGCAGCCACGTTCTGTCTACAAACACCCCAGTGATGGCTGCATAGCATTTTTCAGGGAGGGTTTCCTGATGGTGACAACAGTGGACCATGCCTGCCTAATATGTGATAGAATGGCTACTTTTAGTCTCCATGGGAAGCCTTTGTGGCATGGCTGTGTCGCCCGTTTGTGAACAAGGACCTTCATGGCAGGATCACCAGTGGTTTTATTAAAGGATAAGTTAAACTTTTGACAAAAAATTATAAATGCACATTTTTTTGCAGGTAAAAAAAAAAGTGCATTTATTATTTTTTGTTGCAGGAGCCTGTAAAGCAGGGCTTGACAAGTCTGCTTTGAATCTAGGAGCCGGATAACAAAGTTAGGAGCCAGTTTTTTAAATCGGCTGCCTGGCTCCCAGGACTGCATGTGCGGTGCATCAGGCATTTTTTCTAGGTTCTGTTTAAAATTTTGCAAGTAAATATTTTTTTCTCCGTCTCTGATGTGCTCTGATGAGGCTGCACTAATGGGCACTTATAGGAGGCAATGATGAGGTTGCAGTGTCAGGCGGCCCTGACTGACACCTATAGGTGGCCCTGATAGGGGCCCTGATGGGGAGGCACTAATGGTGAGGCACTCATGGGGAAGCACTGATGAGGAGGCAGTGATGGGGAAGCATTGATAATGTTCTCTTACCTAACTCCAACCTGTGTTTCTCTCTTAGTGTTGGGGGGGGGGGGTGAATAAAATGAACTGAAGCTTTAGCCAGCTGCCCCCACACTCCCTCTCCACTCACCGGCGGAATCTGGTGCCTGCAACTGCAGTCCCAGCACCCAGCTGTCAAACAGGAAAAGAGATGACGGAGGTGGGCGGACAGTGAGAGGAAGCAAGAAGTCCTTAGTTAGAATGGCAGGCACGTTGTGCTCATCGCAGCCCCGCCCAGCAGAGGAGGGCACCGGTTCCCACAAACGAGTGCTATATCCCGCTTCGGCAGGCCGCACTACCGCAGCCTCAGTTACTGGATAGCCGATTGTTGCACCCGCGGGGGGGGGGGGTTGGTGCGCCATATGGAGGGACCAAATCCAGACCTCTGCTACAGTGTAGCCCAGGCGCCAGGACACAATTTCCAGTCGCACCTGGGATTTGTTGAGCCTTGCTGTAAAGCATTGCACCAGCAGTCAACAGATCACTGGTGTCATGCAGGTCTCCTGCAAACCTGTCAGTGTAACTGCCTGCCCTTACAACCTGTACGATCAAGCAGGTACACTCTGAGAGGAAGTCTCAGTGAACCACCACATCGCTCCACAGCACCATTGTAGTTTATTACAGGCCATCAGCCACTAAGGCTGTGGCCTGCCCAGTTTTATTATTCACAGATGACTGCAAATGAGTGACACGGTTGGGCGGAGCTCTACTCGGCTGTTTTTTTTTTTTTTTTCTCTAAATTTTGACCGCTAGCAGAAGATCCCCCGCTAGCTGTCAAAGCAAGGGAGTAAGGAGGAGCAGGGGCCCGGTACTCCCTGAATATGGGTGTAACATATTACGAAAGGTGAACTAATCCTTTAAAGTTTAAGTTCACCTTTTGAAAGAAAATAAATACACATTTTTTTGCATGTTATTATTTTTTTCTAAAGAGCCTGCAGAGCATTGCATCCGCCATCAGTAGGTTGCGGGTGCAATCTCAGGTTCCTGCAGACTCTCAGCATACCCTGTATGGGCAGGAAGATACTTGAGAGCAGGAAGATCAGTGACTTACAAGGGAGCTCACCGCCGCCCTCATAGTTCACTGAAAACTACAAGCTGCCAGCTACAGTGGCTGACAGGACTTGTAGGTATTCACCCACTGTGAACGAACGTGACTGTGTGAGCGGAGCCCTTCCTGGCTGTGCCTTTTTGAAATTGTGACAGCGGGTGTGGGGAGAGGATCCCACTGTCACAGGGATGGGGCGTCGGGGAGGAGGGGCTGCAGATGCTGGAATTGCTGGCCTAAAAATGGGTGGCTCATGTTCAAAAAGTGAACTTATCCTTTAACCTCTTCACGCCGGCCGCACACAAATGTGCAGCCTCCCGTCGTCTGGGCCTAGACGCCTAGCGGCCGCACATTTGCGTGCAATTAAGAAAAACATGTGCTGAGAGCGCGCGCTGTGCGCGATCCCAGCACACATGTCCAGTACTCACGGAGAGGTCCCGATCTCCTCTTTCGATTGGGACCTTTCCCCGATCATGTGACTGCCGTGACGGCGAATCACAGCGGTCACATGACCCTAAAACCCCGCCTTGCCTCCCGGCTTCTGAAACCCTAAAAGGGCCAGGAGGCGCCGGCGCCAAGGGGTTAAAGACAGCTGTAGATGTAAAATGGTAAAGGTGGATAGATTAGGAGACAGCTGGACAGATTGGGGTAGGGAGTTCCATAGGATGGGAGAAGCTCGGGAGAAGTCCTGGAGGTGAGCATGGAAGGAGGTGACACGGGAACTAGAGAGCAGAAGGTCTTGGGAGGATTGAAGAGAGTAGTTTGGTGGATATTTTGAGACTAGGTTGGTGATGTAGCTGGGGGCAGAGTTGTGGATGGCTTTGTAAGTTGTTGTTAGAATTTTATTCGTTGGTCAAGTGGAAGCCAGTGGAAGGATTGGCAGAGAGGGGTGGAGGACACTGAGTGGAGGCCAGTGGAAGGATTGGCAGAGAGGGATGGAGGACACTGAATGGAGGCCAGTGGAAGGATTGGCAGAGAGGGATGGAGGACACTGAATGGAGGCCAGTAGAAGGATTGGCAGAGAGGGGTGGAGGACACTGAGTGGAGGCCAGTGGAAGGATTGGCAGAGAGGGATGGAGGACACTGAGTGGAGGCCAGTGGAAGGATTGGCAGAGAGGGATGGAGGACACTGAATGGAGGCCAGTGGAAGGATTGGCAGAGAGGTGTGGAGGACACTGAGTGGAGGCCAGTTGAGGGATTGGCAGAGAGGGGTGGAGGACACTGAATGGAGGCCAGTGGAGGGATTGGCAGAGAGGGGTGGAGGACACTGAATGGAGGCCAGTGGAGGGATTGGCAGAGAGGGGTGGAGGACACTGAATGGAGGCCAGTGGAGGGATTGGCAGAGAGGGGTAGAGGACACTGGACGGTTGGTATGGTGGATGAGTCTGGCAGCAGCATTCATGACGGACTGGAGGGGGGATAGCCTTTGTAAAGGTAAGCCAATTAGGAGGGAGTGCAGTTCTCGAGGTGAGAGATAACCGATGAGAAAATTGTACGAAAATTTCAGTATGGAGACTAGCGTGCAAAAAAACCAGATGATCGTTCGTGTGATATTTTCGTCGTGTGTACTAGGCATTATAGAGGGCTTTGTCAGTATGGAAAGAAGCAGTCCAGTGCGGATGACTATCACCAGCAGACTTTGCAGACTCGTTATGTGCCAATTGCATTTCTTTTCTGATTGTAGGGAACAGCAATATGAGCATCGTACACATCAGATGAACACGTGCTTGTCTCGCCATGTGACGGGACCACAGCCCAGGCTGGAGATGCTGTCATAGTCCGATATTTATTATATCATACAGATCAATGCAGCTTGCAGAGGTTTTCCCTTTCATGTCGCAATAAATGGAGCGACTTTCTCTCTGCTGAACCAATTAGCTTACCCCATGCCTAGTCACTATCTGCCCTCACACTGTACCTAGTGGGATTCCTCTATTTGCTGACCTGTTCTGAATCAATTAGCACCTCTGCTGTCTGTGTAAACAGCCTTACTCACCCCTGAGCTTTGATACCAGTTTGGGGGCACAGAGGGGGGCTGTGTATGTGGAGCCTCCTCTCTGTGGAGCCAGGTGGTCATGGTGTGTCCTGGATCTCATGCTGGGTCAGCATGTGGATGAAAAGACTTTGCTGGCTTCTGATGTCCTTGCACCATACTGAACCCCAACCTGTTAATATTTCTGTTCTGGCCACTGTCTGCCTGCTTTATTGTTCCTTCATCCTATCAGTGGTAGGTGTGTCAAACATGGGACTTACCTTATCAGAGGACCAATCTACCGCTTGTCCACCTACCCTCAAGCCTTGTACATGTAATGAGAATATTGGACGCATAATAGTCCGATTTAGTTTATTTTTGCATGCTTGTCTCATATTAAAGGTGAAGAAGTTGCTAAAGTGACAAAATTCTTGAATGACAGGAAGAAAATTCGGAAGTGATGTAATGTATTGCATTGTATTTGTCCTGATTAAACGAAAATCGTACGATCTGATATCATGCAAGAAACATTTCCACGCTTGTCCCTTCAAATAATTGCAGACAAAAGCTGTGTACTAACAATCAGATTATTGTACGGCCGCTTTGAAAGTAGTGTTTTTCGTACGATTTTCTGATCGTGTGCACTAGGCTTAAGTTCATAGGCACGTTTTTTTTTAAATTTAATTTTAAAATGTATTTTATTAGGGTTTTCCAGAATAACATTTCAATATAAAGTAGTTCAGCATTCAAGGGAAACGTCCGGTCTAGTACAATTCTGAATATCTGAGTGGATCCAATGATCCCACATAGTTGAGTGTTGCTTGTCCTTCCATGAGTGCTGGGATGGTATTCCAGTGGAACCACTTAGGCAATCGGACCGGTAATGGGAGCAGGTTCCTATCAAAACTAGGTACCCACTCTCCCCAAAAAATACACTGCCAAAAGAAGAAGAGGAGGGAGGTAGGAGGGCGTAAGGTGGAACCTCTAGGGTGGAGTTTTGCTTTAAGAAGCCAAGGGCATATTACCAGGAAGTAATAGAGCAGACAGAGTAGTAAATGTAATGGATGGGATTCTTCCAATCCAGGAGATGCTGTTCGCTGTCCATTGGTGCAAAATCAGTATCATTTCCCGGTGTAGGCGTGGGTAGTTTGCTCCATATAGGCGTTGGGTAGTAGGCATCAGGTTGATCCCTAAATATTGAATGCTCTCTGTATTCCAAGAATAATGAAAAGTAAACTGAAGTGTCCACTTCTTTAGGGTAACAATGAGGGCTTGTGATTTGGAGTTATTGATCTTCTATTCTGAAAGGGCAGCAAAATCTTTAATGGGATTATGTAGAATAGAGAGCGTAGTCAAGGGTTTGGAAGGATTCCCGCACCGCCTTTTGGAATGCCATTTCAAATCAGATGCCATTCTTTGCAGTGCGATTTGCGCCAATTTATTTTGTATGGACATAAATCGCATCGCAAAGTATCGGTACATGCATATATCACACTCCTCACTCTTACCCAACCCTTGACTACGCTCTCTATTCTACATCATCTAAGGTCACTAGGTTTGTCAGGAGGTTACGGAGGAAGGAAGTCTGATTCAGATTGGGGGTGTACAAGTGGCAGAGAGTAATTAGGGAGGTTCCTAATGAACCCAATTAGGTATTTATCTTGATTATATACCCTCCCTCTTAGATTGTAGGCCCTCCTATCCCTCTTGTATTGATCTGTATTGTTGCTGTATTGTCTCCCGTTATATTGTAAAGCGCTGAGCAAACTGTTGGCGCAATAAATCCTGTATAATAATAATAATATGGCACCGACTTTGAGAGTCTGAGAGAGCATAAGTCATTTATTATTATCGCCACCCCAATGGTGTCTGTGCTTTGAAGCTGTAATATGATGAGTGATGTAATATTGCCACCAGAGCATAGGAATCATGTGTATTACTGGGCAGCAGCAAGACACGCTACCCCCCCCCCCCATCCCCACCCATTCCCCACCCTTTGGGCTGCTTTTAAAGTCCATCCAATCCTACGTTTGAAGGACTCTAGTGAAGCCTTTGTTACCCCTGGCTGTGGATCATATCCTGTGTCTGGTGACTGACAGCTCATCATACCGCAGTTCATGGGGGCACCTAGACAGAGGGGAGTCTCTGCGGGGTTTAGGACTTCCCAGCCTCAAGTTTAGCAGCATCCTCAGCAAAGTCATAGTGAATGAAGATAGCCTGGGATGGTCTCTAGCAGCCTTTCTCAACCTTTTCACTCCAGAAGAACCCTTGAAATAATTTTTAGGTCTCATGGAACACCTGCTAAAATCAGTTTATTGGAAAGAATGTCCCATACGCTGGATGAAAGGTGAAAGGGTAAGGATGGCTCCCCTACAGCGGTGGTTAGAATACCACCCTGACAGAGGAAGAAGATCATTGGTCTAATGCTTGCCCCTGGTGTTGTTGGCCCCTGAACGATGTAGGAGGTCTGCAGGCACAGCTCAAGGAACCCCTAGCAACCTCTGGAGGAACCCTAGTTAAGGATGGCTGGCCTTTAGATTTGATGAGAGTATAAACATCATATAGAGCAGGGCCCTCAATCCCCTCATGTTTTGAATTGTATTGGTATTGTTCTGTCACATGTTCTGTCCCCCTTTGTAATGTACAGCGCTGAGCGAACCTTCGGCGCTTTATAAATACTGTATAATAATAATATATTTATTTTTTTTTATGTATACTGTATATTTAAAGAAGGTCATCTGATCAATCAAGCCTCTTTCAGCTGCTTGATCCCCACATGCACTCGCTCAGCATCAGCTAAAAGTCTTTGCTTTGGACCGGCTTCCTGATGGTACATTGGTGGTCCATGGTTGCACATTGTGTTGGCAGGGCCACTTGTAGTCTCTATCAGAGTTCATGTGCAGGATGACAACATAGGAGCACAATTGTTTGACAGTGGTCACCCTATACCAGCAATGGGCAAACTACGGCCCGCGGGCCGCATACGGCCCGGTGGACCTTTTAATCCGGCCCGCGGAGCGTGATCCAAAAAAAAAAAAACAAACAGCCAGGGCAGGCAAACATTGGCTGTCAGGATGTGTGTAGGCGGGGCAGCGTGACAAACGTGAGGGGAGCTAGGCTCCTCTCACAGTCCGCCCTGAAGACCGGAACGGCGCGGGAACACGGCGAGAGGAACGCGCGGAGCAAAGGTAAGGAAATTGACACAGGAGGGACTTGGCTTACTACTTGGGGGGGAATAGTACTATGGGGGATGAAATACTATATGAGGGATGAAATTACTATATGGGGGATGAATTACTATATGGGGGATGAATTACTATATGGGGGATGAATTACTATGGGGGATGAATTACTATATGGGGGATGAATTACTATATGGGGGATGAATTACTATGGGGGATGGTTTACTATGGGGGATGAATTACTACATGGGGGATGAATTACTATATGGGGGATGAATTACTATAGGGGGGATGGTTTACTATATGGGGGATGAATTACTATATGGGGAATGAATTACTATATGAGGGATGAATCTATATGAGGGATGAATTAATATGGGGGATGAATTACTATAGGGGGGATGAATTACTATATGGGGGATGAATTACTATGGGGGATGAATTACTATAGGGGGGATGAATTACTATGGGGGATGATTTACTATATGGGGATGAATTACTATGGGGGATGAATTACTATATGGGGATGAATTACTATATGGGGGATGAATTACTATAGGGGGGATGAATTACTATATGGGGGATTAATTACTATATGGGGGATGAATTACTATGCTTACTATGGGGGAATATTACTATACTTACTATGGATGGCATGGTAGTGGCTGGGCCGGCCAGCAGCTAGTGGGGGGCGGGGCTCATTCATCTACTCTTGGTCCAGCCCCCGGGTCCAATATATGAACCCATTGCGGCCCTCAAGTCAAAAAGTTTGCCCACCCCTGCCCTATACCATGCCTGAACAAGGACTTAGGCAGCATCAGCAGGTATTATTGTAATGGTAGCTGCAGATTTAAAAATCTCAGAAAACAACTTTTAAAATGACCTGAACATTTTGGGCTTATATGAGATTTTATTGATTGGTTTTACTTCAGTATAAAAGTGTCCGGGTCATTCATAGCTACTAGTCAGATGCCTTCACTTCCGATGCTGCTCTAGAAATGAACAGCTGGAATTTTATTGTGTGAAGATACTGTGGGATAAACAAGGTCCGATATCTCTCTCTCTCTGTGAGACTTTCCTCTGAAGCGGAACCATGGAACTGTCCACGCATCTCTCAGAAAATAACAAGGCTGCCTTTGTGTGGCGGGGTCTTTAATCGGCCTTTTTTAACTCGTCAACAACAGACCGCAAAGCTCTTATAAATGTCCAGGCATATAGAAAGATGTCAGATTGTCCTCCAGGGATGATATATGTGTGTGTGTCAGGCGCTCCTCGGATGCCAGTATGCGATGGGTGGACGGAAGTAGTTTGGGTTCTGTGGAATTCCTTTGCCACGTAGCACATACCAGCAGGTGGGACAGCTGACAAGCAGCAGGCTCACTCTTCACACCATCAGCTGTCTGCCTCAGCTGGCCTGATCGCCACTTGTCATTCCAGATACACAGGCATCAATTGATCAAGGAGGATCTGGACATTGCAATCACGGTCACTG